AACATAATCCCGTAAAATAGTTCGGTCCGTAAAACGTATTAGATCCTCAAAGGCACAAACTCTGCAGTAATGTCTTCCCAGCTTGAGATCAGCTCCGGCTGTTTTATTCATTTCTTCTGGCAAAATCAGGCTGAATCTATTTCAGATCGCGCTGAAAGAGCTACAGGCAGCTAGACGGACGTCTCAGCTTTTGATTGACACCTAGTTTGGCCAATACGAGGGCTTTGGGGATGAGTGACACCCTGAAGAGCCAATGGAGTGTCTCAGACAGTCAACCCGGTACACACAAGTTCCACCCTTGTGGATTCGACCAGTCGGGTTGCAGACACTCTCTGACGCTGTAAACTTGTAGCCAATGAGCAGACGAACACGTGGATGTGTCGGAAGGCAGGAAGGCAGGATTGTGTGTGTGTGTGGTGGTATCGGATCGGTCAGTTACCACTGTGAAGTAAATCATCCGGTACCGTAATTTCGTCCAGTATCGGCCCGATACCGATACCCAGTATCGGATCGGCGCATCTCTAGTTTCAACTTTGCCATCACATGTCTCTAATCTTTTACATCTCCATTATAACTCTGGTTCACATCTAAACATGTCATATATCTTGATCTTAAAATGTTATTTCCATGACACCTCAAATAACCCAGTGTCCACAGTGATTCCACACTGGAACCTACACCTCTTCTGCATATAACAGAGCCAGTTGAAATTGATTGCACAGATGACTATTGAGTTGTATAGCTGCTTCTTTTTGTGCCTCCGAAGCTACAATAAAAGTGTTTCATGCCTGTTGCCAGTGCAATGTTTGTCTTTGTGTTGAAGGCAAACAATATGGTTTAGAGACCAGCTATGCTGCCAATATCCTGTAAAACGTTTACAATGTGTAAATGTTATTGGCTTCTCCACCATAGCAACAGTGTTGTAGTGACTTTATGCTTCAGTTACTTTTTGTCAGCAATGCTACAAGTGAATCTGGGATAGGATCCTTCACCTTTCATTAGAGCCAAAAATTATGACTACATTCAAGACTAGATTCCTTGTTGTCCTATTATATGTGACCATAGTTACCAAAGGTCATAAAACATCTGGACATACCATCAGAAAAACGTGTAAATGAATAACTTTCTGTGATATTGTTATGAAATTAGATCTTGGACTACAAAAAGGCTTTATGCTTGGTTCCCAGTGCGTTCAGCACTTACACACGTGGACAAAATTGTTGGTACCCCTCAGTTAATGAAAGAAAAACTCACAATGGTCACAGAAATAACTTGAATCTGACAAAAGTAATAATAAATAAAAACTCTATGAAAATTAAGCAATAAAAATCGGACATTGCTTTTGAACCGTGGTTCAACAGAATTATTTTCAAAAATAAACTCATGAAACAGGCCTGGACAAAAATTATGGTACCCCTATAAAAGACTGAAAATCATGTGACCATAGGGACATGTTCAATCAAAGTGTGTCCTCTAATTAGCATCACAGGTGTCTACCCTATTTATAGGGTTACAAGTAGTCACTGTGCTGTTTGGTGACATGGTGTGTACCACACTAAACATGGACCA